TGGATACAAAATTCTGTTCACCAACTGCCAATCTATTTTTTTTTATACGCCCACTTCAATTTGCATCAAAATTGATATTTTGCTGCCAATTGGCGCGGAACGTTTTAAAAAGCAATTAGTCGATTTTCCTCTCGGCAAACAAGTCAAGCGTTATATTATTCATTAAGCCGTTCTAGTGCAGAACCTGCCCCACTTTGTACCTTTCCAAGTTGGCGACCGAATTATAATCACGAATTGAAACGAGAGGAATTTGGCTGAGGGTCTGGGCGGATAAACAATGCAGGCCAAAACATAATGGTCGGTGCAGCGCGCGCGTATATTTTGGTCACCGGAAGTAAGAGGCTTCGCTCGGCAGAGTTTCCGTTAAATTTTTGAGAGGCAAACCGTGAGCCAAGTACACTTGGACTTAATAGCATGTGAGCGAGAGAGCAGAATCGATCTAGTCGTCATGGCGACTGAGAAAAACGAAAGACGCCGCCGCGTGCTTCTCTGCAAGTGCGCACGTCGGACTTATAAAAAAAAAATAAGAGAATTCGGCCGCGACCAGATGAGAGCGGGATATTTTTATCGCTGCTTTATTACACACCGCGCGTCTCTGACGAGAAGTACATCCTCTAATTTTCGCTCTCGCAATTTCCTCGCCAGGCACTGCACTGCGGCGATCTTGAATTTCTGCGACAACGTTCATGTGGAGAAAATTTAGAAATTGCTCATTACTCTGCCTCGCTGCCGATAATCATAAAAAAATCAAGGATGTTCAATTTTAGAAATTAATTGTACCATTGACCTCACCTACTAGCAAGTTAATCAAATTATTTCTAATTTAACAGCACAAATTTTGGTACTTTGCATCGAGAAAACTTGCTTGGGTTTTATTAAAATTAATTATTTATAAAAACGATGCAGATATAGTTTATATTTATATTAATGATATTATAATCTCTTACGTGGGTTGTAAATTTGATTTACATTTAAATTTAAAGATGTAAAAACATTTGTTCAATTGTGAATAAATGTGTTAAAACAATTCAAAGTTTGAAGTAAGCCTTCATAAGTTTTTGCACATAATTTTAGATTCATTAAAAGGTTTAGATTGTTTGGAAAGTTTACTGTTGCAAATCCAAGTATTCATCAATCACATTGATGCATTCACTTTTTTACTTTAAAAAAGGTATGTGGGGATTAAAACTAAAATATTTACTAAATCGGTTAATGTTTACAAATTTTGTCTAAATTGTGATGGTTGAAAGTGACAAAATATTAAATTTCCTTGAAAAATTAATTTGAACTGTTGAAATCAAATTTACTAATGTTAATTAAATTGTTGTTTTAACCAAATTACCAGGTTTTAATCTCTCTCGTGATTAATAAAAAGTTGCTAGGAAATTTCATGTAGAATAATTGCTCAAAAGAACTATTCTATATTAAAATGCAATTTCGTGTTGCTATTTTGCAACACGCGTTTCACAATTTCCGTGCACAAAGAGCGCGCATTAAAGCGAGGGTCTATACCTGTGGAAAGTGCGGTCAAAAGCGGCGGGCGCATCCATTTTTAATTCCCTCCGTTAAAAGCTCTGCATAAATGTTGAATGGGTATCGGTGTAGGGGAGGCGAACAAAAGCGCCGCGGAGCAGATTTTGTCCAAGTTTCACGTGAGCCTCAACTTTGCAAAGTCTTAGGGAGAATTATTCAATTCAAAGCAGTTTGTGGCTCTCGAAAGCTAATCTAACCGACATACTCGGTTTTCAATTTGGCAGCGATTCGATATTTTAATTCCATTTCCTCTGCGGACCAATATTGATATTTGCACGTGACAGCTTTTGAAATTGTGCGTTAATGGAAAATGAATATTTTCGTTTCAACATCACGTTAATCGAATTAGATTTCTGATCAATTCATGCCAATCAAACGTAGAGGTAAATTTAATACTGCTAAAATGTTTAAAAAAAATTAAATATTTATCGATGCAATATTAAATTATAATAATTATTACTGCAAATTTTGAGCGAAAATGTACTGTGTAATAATTTCATTTGGGAACCTAAAGCGCGTTTCATTTAACACTAATTAATATTTACTTTCTTTTGATTTTTAAATAACAATTATATATTCAAAAATAATTTAAAAGTCTAAACTAGCCCGTTTTTGTGCATTAAACTGATCTTATTTGCTTGTTTTGTTGCAGCAGGTGAGTACCACAAAAACTATCACTACAAGTCTTCGTCAGTAGAGCTTGATTCTCTAACCGGTGAAGTGAAAATTTCCTTTATTTTAAATTAAAATACTCGTTTTATTTTAAAATCTAAAATATCTGATATCACAATCTTGGAAGATCTTACGATTAGTTGAAAATTAAGGTTATTGTTATACGTCAAGACAATCTCTGTCTATTACAACAAGATATAAATCATCAAAAATAGAATAATACTATATAAATTAAAACTACAAAAAATTTGAAAGGAAAAATAAACTAACTTTACTTAGAAAGCATATCGGGGGAAAGAAACAAAAAATATATTTTTGTAAATATAATTTTTTTATGTTCGTGAGACTTGATTACTTTCTTGAAAAAAGAATTAATTTTATTAACACGGAAAAAAGCACTAAATTCACTTCTTTCGTCTCTTGAGACTTCTTGTTGACATAGTCCACCTTTCTACGGGTTTGTTCCATTTATATTTGGGCCTTGTTTGTACTAAAAGCAATCAGCCCAACATTTACAATCGCCAATTTACTTTTGTGTGTCAAGCAAGCGTAATAGAGCATTGCCGGACGCAAAGTCATGTGCGTTGGTCGTCTCGTGGCTTCCACTTTGCGGAGTGCTTTCGGCGGAATGGCCTAGTAACAAAAGACGTCGGTCAATCTAGATTTGCGGTGCGTGACGAAAACACTGGCTGAGATTCCAGTCTTTATCGGAATAGTCAATCGGCAGCAGATCCACAGCGACCCTTTTTCCAAAAAAAAGGAGCAATTTGTCGACCCAGCCAAACGCCATTCGTTTCAATTTGATGTCTTTAAAAACGGAAAGGGCTCGACCTGATTTCGGTTCAATAAAAAAAAAATTCAAACTAGTAAAACAAGCACTCGCTTATTAATTTTATCGAATCGAGCGGACGAAGAATGCGCATTTTTGAGGACTCTTCAGAGTTATGCAACCTGTTTGTTTCGTAAGTGTTGCGGGCTTGCCGAGCACCGGCTGCTGGCGCTGCCGCCTGCTGCGCGCCCCAGGCTTTGGAACGAAAGCAGATTAGAGATGCTAATACAATCACGTTGCCAATGCAAAGTAGTGCCACCCTCTCGCGCGCACACCACCCCGTGATTAAAATACGACTCGCCTGATGTGAATTTTCCGCCTTGGCAAATTGCGTACTTTGTTGTACGTATATACTGGAATAATGCATTGGAAAAAAGCTCTGCTGCTGCAACTGCTGTATTTAATTTCTCAAAGGATCTGAATCAGCATAAAACCAATCGAGAATGCATTTAGCACAAAGTATTTTTTATTATTCATATAATAATCCAGCTGTCCGTAATACATTATGGATGTTTTTTACATCACAGGCAAAAAACAAAAAGAAACTTTTTTATACAATTTTGGGAAAAATTATTTTATGATAATATTACTAATTACACTAAAAAACAAACGAATTTTTATGCTTGGATTTTAAAAGAAAAAGTCACTTAAGTCTAAAATAATCAATTGATACATTTGTGATAATTCCATATTAATAATATTTAATTTTAATTTTTAAAAATTCACTGATTTTTAGGCGTTGTCGGAAAAAACGTTTTGGAAAAGTTTAAAAAACAAATAAATTAAAATATAGACACAATTTCAAATGGATTATCATCAGAATCAATTTTTGAGAAGAAAAAAATCTATTATTATGTAAAAAAAATTGTGTATCTGTCTGATAAAATATGATTGAATCTGATTGGGAAGCGAAACTAATTTAATGAACCAGTTGATTTGGTCTGGCCGCTCTCTCTAGGGCGCACCCAAGTATGATTATTATTTCTGTCGGAGGAAAGCAAGCACTTGAAAGCCTAGCAACCGAGCGCGTCACGAGCATCCCTGCAGTTACCATGACGTTTGATTAGAATTAAGCGCCGCCTATTGTGATCGGCACGTAGGACGTCTTTCTCTATTATGAACGCACCTACGTACAAAATTCATCCGTCTCGTCGCCTTTCGGCAAAAGTCGATTCTTTGCCGCTCACTCAGTGCGAAATTGTTATCCGCACCAACTGTGTGTGCTGCCAGGAAATTGTCTTTAAAGTTAATCAGCAGCACACTCTGGGGGTTTCTCCATCGACGCTCGTCGGTGGAGCGCTGATTTATTTGTCCTAACGAGCGAGCACACTGCGCTGGCTGCGCACGGCTAATTGCAAAATGATTCAAGTGCGATATGAGAGAGACCTAGAAAGGCGCTCGGGCAGACGAGACCATCAGAGAAATCCGATGCTGATAGATTTCATAGATTAAAGGATCAAATTGGAAAGCAATTGAGATTTATGACTGCAGTAAATTTTATATTGGTTTTCAACAGTAACAAAAGAAATACAAGAAAGCTCAATTTTTTTACCTTAAAATTTAAATTTTTTGCAGCATCCAATAAATTATTTAATTCATTTAATTGCTTGAAAAATTCTTTAATCATCAAATCAGAAAGGACGCGAAAATTCTAACTTGTTCAGCTAAAATTGTTTTTACCGCCAAAATTTCAGAACATTTTGAATATATTAAATTTTTCATTTTCAGTTTTATTATAAAAAAAAACATCAAGTGCAAATTTGCTTTCTTTTTGATAAAACACAGAAAAAAATATAGCGAATAAACGTTGATAACTTTCTTAAGAATCCAGATAAGAATATAAAAATAGCAAACCAAGTTAAACGGTATAAAAATGGAATTTTATTCAGCGACCTCCAATTTTCTGGTGTCAAATCGATAATAGGAATTCAAAAGGAACACCAAGATCCTGATCATCTGATTTTTTTTCTATTTCTCAAAAATAAATATTTAAACTTAAATCTTCTATAACAACGCCAGACAAAGTTTATTTCTGTTATTCCAAAAGTTGATTTCTATGAAACGTGACCTAAGATTTCCAGGGCATAAATGTGATCCTAATTTCAGCTGCTAAAAATTATATTTTTACAGCTTCAAAAGTCACAATATTCACTTTGATCTTTGATTCAATTGTACAAAAAAAAGTCGGAGTTTTTTTTACAAAGAATAAAAAAATCAATCTTATAATGAATATTGAACGCGGTTCAAGGTCTTAAACGATTAGCTGTCAAGAGAGAACAACAAGTGACTTTTAGGGTCGTGTGTTTTCGTTAAGAAAAGAGGCAAACACGTGTCGCGCGCAGTTTAATTTCCTGCGGCAAGAGAAGAAATTAGGCGCAGAAGAGGGTGTTCGAGCTGCGAGGGCAATAAGAAAGAACCTCTGTTTGTGGCAGCGGAGCGACCCTCGTTTTTCTTCTGTTTTTTATTATTATTTTATCTGAAGGTCTTGGGGTAGGGTTGCGCGAGGAAGTGCTTGAGCCAGGAGGGTGCGTTCGCCACTTGGTTGCAGGCCGCCTCGTAGGTGGTTTCCCATGCGCTGGGCTGCTGCGTCGTCGCGTGCCTCGACCCTGCACGAAAACAACACACAGGCCATTAGGGCGCGCCTTGCATATCATTCCAAGCGAGCCCCGTTCGATTGCGTCGGAATGTTTGAGCAACAGGGCTAGCTTGGCGCACAACAAAGTAGAAGAAGAAAAAGCTTATTCTGAGCCGCTGCGTAGAAAAAGCGAATGCACGCAGCCCTTTCTTGTTTCGGCACACGGAAAATAAATTAACCTCGTTTATTATTCCAAACTTATTATGATGAATATTATCGACCCAGGCAGAAAGTGTTGCATGTGAAAAGAATGAATTCATTATCATATAATATTGTTTCTTTCTTTTAAAACAATGGCAAAGAAATAAAAACAAAAAATCTTGCAAAATTTTTAAAAAGATGTCGCAGAGTTTTACAAGATTTTAGGTAAAACGGGAAATGCTGCAATGGATTATAAATGATTCAAATGATAAGAGTTAAAATATTGTGTGTTATTGCTTCAAAAATGAAATTAATTTATTTTCGCCCCCATCACTTCTTTACAGGGTGCCAAAGTTAGGTCTACAGGCCAGAAATGGATAAAAATCCACAAAAACCTGTTTATGCTCATAACGTTTGATTTTGCGCGGTGATATTTTCTAGATAGCTTTTGATTCGCAACATATCAAAGTATAAAAAAAGCAAAAGAAAATTATACCTGTTCTTGAATGTATCACCCTCAGAGAAATTAAATTTGTAAATGGCCGGTTAAAATTATAGGACTTTGATTTCTCAGAGCCCTCAGGGGCAATACCAATTTTTATAATTTTTTGCTTTATTTTTTGCATACTTTGATACCTTTTGAATTGAAAGCTATCTAGAAAATATTAGTTCACTTGGTTATATCAAAAGTTCCTCTGTTAAAAAGGTAAAAAAATCATTAATTTTTACCCATTTTAACTTTAACACTTAACTTTGTCATGCCCTGTAAAGAAGCGATGGGGGGGGGGGGGGAAGTAATTATTTTCATACTTGAAACATTTAACACACAAATAATTATTATCTTATAATCTGAATCATTTTAAATCCATCATTTTAAGTTTCTGCTAAAATCCAGTAAAAGAATCGATTTAAAGATTCTCGTTTGCATTTATTGGCTTAATATAAGAATTTCATATTAATTCGCCAATAGGAGACATTTTTCTAACGTTAAGCTAGTTTTTTTGAGTATTGACGTCATCTATCTATATCAAAATAGAAAGGAGGATCTTTTCATCAAAACCTAATTTTCGAGAGTTGGTAGTTGGAAAACGGTCTGATTAATTGGCTAAACAAGCAGAGAGCACTGCTAACAAAAGCTGATGGCGTTCGTTAGCTCTTTCTCTCTCTCTCATTCACTGGCCTTATCTTATTCTCTTTCCCTCTCTCGGCCTTGCTAGTATGATGGAGTGTGTTCGACGCGACCGCCCAAACATCCCTGAAAGAAAGTTGGACGCGGCACGAAAGTCGGGGGGCCGAATATAGACCTGGCCTCCGCCCTCGCCAGCAACAACGGCCATTATTTTTCATTTCCGCCTCCCAGCACACCCACCCGCACACACTCTCTTTCTCTCTCATGCAGCGCGCTAATGCATGCAACATGTTTTATTACACATAACACGCCCGCGCCCCTAATTAATTGCCGCGCGTACACGTCGTAAAAGACATAATAATAATAATCACGTGCCGACAATTAGATAAAAAAAATTAAGACCAGCACCCGTAATTTTTTACTGCCGAGCGTGAAAGTGTAATTGTTAACGATAAAGCCAAATTCGCAGCGTTAAATTCGGAAGATTAGATTTTTCTCGCCAAAATTTTCAAACTTTAATAACATTTTGCAACATTAATCCATTTGACAGGAAAATATTTGAAGGGCTACAAATATTTTTCGCTATTTCTTTGTTAGTATTAAAATAAATACAAATAAATTTTATGAGGCCCTTAAAAAAACCACGTGCGGACCAGGTAGAGAGATAAAAATTACGAAATTACCTCGTTGAGGGTGGAACTGCGGGTGGCGCAGCATCTCGGCCGAGTACTCTTTGAGGTACTCGGTCTCCCTCTGGGTGACGCCCCACGGCAGCAGTCCTTGCGGGGGCCGCGTGACCTCGTTGGGGGCGGCGGGGGCCACGGTGCCCAGGTCTTCGGTGTACGTGGACGCGAGGCGTTCGAAGCGGCCGTCCGTGCGCAGCGTGTTGAAGTGGAAGTAGGGGCGTCGCGGGCCTGGAATTTGCCACTCTGGGAGATCAGGCACGGGCCACTGGGCACTCGACTCAACTCCGCCGTACTCGCCTGCAACAAACTGACAGTCAACAGGCAGCCAAAACCCGGGGCCTAATGGATTCCTTTCAAAACATTTTTAATTTAAAATAAAACACCATTCAAGTGCAGATAAAATTTTAGTCATTTTCCTCAAATTGCTGTTCTGAAGGAGAAATTTAATCAAATTCCTTATTTAAGCCCTGAAAGATCTTTGCTTATAAACTGTTTTTCAGCAAGAATTGATGGAGTTATTAACTTTTGAAGCTTCTCTGATGATGCACCTAATAAGAAATTATTTATTAAATTTAAAAGTGTCTGGAAACTTTTGGAAACAAACTACTTTATTTTAGTTTAAAAGCAATTTTTGCTAAACTTTCAAATTCGTGTGAAATATTGAAATATTTCCACTTTAATTTTTTATTTTATTAAGAAGTTTCCACTGCACCCCACTAAAAAAAAAAATTGCCTTTGGAACGAAATCCATCTTATGAATAGAGCGCGACACTTCATGAAAGCAATCGCATAGCATTCGGCAAGTCCATTTCTCGATGAATTATATTGTCAATTGAATGGCCTGACAGAATCGCACACTCGAGGCCCGAAAACGTGTGTGGATGGACCAATCGAATGGGGAGCAGTCTCGTTAATGGACGGATTCAATCGTCATTCGAGTGGAAGGGAAATGCAATTTGTTTGCAGCGTTTACCTGAGTGCTTGTCAACTTGGCGCGTGGTTTCGTCGTAGCGCTGTGTCGAGGCGCGGTACAGGGGCTGCAGGTCGTCAATTGGAAATCGCTCGTCCTCCCTGTCGGCCAAGCAAATAAATGGAAAATTAAAGCTCAGTTTGTTTAAGCCAAAGCGACCAAAGTCTGCTTTTTTTAATGACCAAATATTGGAAAATTTAAATCAATGAGAGGCTTAAGCTCTAAAGAAGATTCTGAATAAAAGTTATATTTTTTAATAAAAATTTAATTATAAATTTGCTGAATTTTGCATCAAATTTCATATTTTGTGTCTAAATTATATTGAGCGAGAATTTTTTTCAAAATTAATCAAATATATTCCCGTCCTAATTTTAGATTAATTAGATTTTTTAAGAAACCTTTTTATTTATTTAAGACCAATTAATTATGACTTGATGTCAAAGGTATCGTTTCGCAAAACCGAGCAGAAGATGTTTGATATATTTTTCGCTGCAAAGCCCGGAGGATGATGCGAAGAATCAAATTTCGCCGCAAACTACTTTCGATCATTTCCGTGTGGCCTTTGTGCTTGGCAAAGCCCGAGCCGCGAACGTGCTCTGCAATCAATGGGGGGCGAGGTCGCGCGAAAGGGCAAATGCTCACCACCACTCGCGCTGCAGCGGCCGCGGCAGCTTGAAATTGACGCCGCTGGCCACGAACTGCGTCGGCACGCGCTTCTTGGGCCGGTAGTCGGCCATCGTGGTCGACTCGTCGCGCCGCTCGCCGAATTTGCCGACGAACACGCCGGCCGGGTACGAGGGCACGTCGTCGCGAAGCCCCTCGCCGGGCTCGCCAAAGTCCTCGTGCGTCACAGACGCCTCCTTGAATTGAAAACGACCTCCCCACAGCGCCATCTTGCCTCGCGAATTTAGAGAATTCACACGAAATTTTTCGAAAATTCAATCCAAATAAAACGGTTCAGTTGCTACCAAGAATTTTGAGGAATGACCAACAATGGTAAAGATTTTTTAAATTACAACAATACTGGAATTTTGTTGATAAATCATTTTGTGTTGTTGAAAAAAAAAATTAATGTTCAATTGTTGCAAATATAAAATGCATCAGAATTTTAAAATCAGATAATTTATAAAAAAAATAGTGGAAAAAATATAGTTTTTTCAATAAAAAACAAAATATTCGCTTTGAAGTTGGAGATATTTCATTTTAATTAGGAATATTCTTTTAATATGGAACATTTTTTTTTTAAATTTTATATTGTGTTGATTAATTTAAATAAGAAGCTTTGAAAATTGTTTTTTGATCTTTTCAGTTGAATGAAAGTTTCTTTTATCTTTAAGGTCATTTCCTTCAGAGGCAAAATAATAAGCACTGTTTAATACAGTGACAAAAAACCAATTAATGGCAGGCAAAGAAATAACGTTCCCCTTTGAGCAGCACAGCTCTGGTCTTTTCAAGCGACTTTAAAACAACCTTGTGAGTTTCATATTTGCTTTGCGAATTCTCTGCTTCCTTTGCATATAAAAGCCTGCGATGTAGCGCCATAAATTAATTACCGCCGGCCTTGTTACACAAGTGGGTTTGATCCTTTGCCCGAGAGTTTTTTCCCGCAGTGTTATTTTTCCTTTTCAAAGGAAAAACGTGCACAGCTGTTGAAAAATTGCAAAACTCAAAAGTCACGGTTTTTCAATCAAAATTGATTGGAAGCGTTTTGCTCTGTCAAACCGAAAAGGTACACACACGTGGGCGCGTAAGCCTCTTTTCTGCGCAAAAAGCTGCCATTAAAAATTTTCCGCCGCACTAACGAGAGGACAAAAGGACGAGAGCAAAACACGCGTGTATGTCGCTGGCTGGAACGGCAACAAGTCTACTCTTAATTCGTCCTCCCCTGTGTGTTTCAGCTTTTCATTAACAAGCCGCGCTCTTCCGCGGCTGCCGCCGTGCATTTAATTTGGTTTGCGCGTTATTTAAGTGCTGCTCTCGCAAACGGAACGAAAATGTGTGTTTTCGCGAGAGAGCGGCGCAGAATGAAACGACCCCGTCTGCTAGAGACACCTCGCACCCGGCGCCGGAACCCTGGTGCGCAACTGGTGCTCCTTGCTAGTGAGGCACCCAACGTATAGGTGGCTGCTCAGAACCCACCCCTAATAATATGTGAGGAAAGGGAAGGTCCATTTTATTCATACTTTGAGTTAAATAAAATAAATTTATATAGGATGGAAAATTTTACTTAAATAAATTGGTTCAAATTATTCAATTTCCACATGTTGAATGAAAAAATTGAGCAAAAAAAGTTGAAAATATCCCCTAATTATTAATTAAAAATTTCCTAAATTGATCGTTTTCCGTCAATTGATTCCATTGTGAATTTGCTCAGAATTTCAAAACGGTTTGATAAGAAAAATTTAGAAATTGGTACTCGAAAAGGGCGCATCTCTTAATTGGATATTTTCTGGTTCGAAGTTCGAATCGGTTCAAGGGGCGGAAAGTTCCGAGTTATTTTTAATTCTGGCATTTAATTTTGGTCACAAGTTCATTATCTCTTATTTTCGAACTCCCACAAAAGAGTAGGAAATCTACACCCGCGTTTTTGTTACAGCTACTGGAAGTGTTAAAATGTGAGGAATTAAGATTTCTAGAAATCAATAAGTTCCAACTGCTCTGAGAACGCCTTATTCCCAGAAATAAGCAAAGTCACTTTCTTCAACCAAGCATTAATTTTGCTCAACAACTCTTCAAAATTACTTTCACCAAATTGGTAGTATATCTCCTTGAGTTTAGGTTGCCTTTTTCCTTGTGTATGAAATATTGAAGTTACAAGAATCCGAGTTTCATAATTTTTAAAATGTTTTTGATTACAAATTAATAAATTTTACTCAGAATATTCCCTTATGTATTATTGCTAAAATTTGTTTATTTACACTTTGCTTTAATTAAATTTAATCAAGCGTCTTGCAAGGACTTGCTTGTTTAATAAGGCTAAATTAATTATCTAGCTTCTTCGTTTTAATTGCATCTTGGAGAATTTCATTTGCAAATGACGAAATAGAATATTCACCCTTGACATGCGTCAGAGCAGCTTTTCTCGCCTGCGACACATTTAATCCCTGCACTGCTGTAAACCACTCTTAACCTATATAACGGCTCCATTTTTATTCCAGATGACGCACAGACAAATATGCAGCACAATCATAGAAACAAAATAAGTGCAACTCTTATAATAATACCGTGTCGCAACTTGTAATGGAAAGTTGCATTTACCTTTTTTCAATATAGGTCAGCTGCAAAACTCGCTCGAGTAATTTTGAAAAGTAATTTTAATTTTTTATTTTCATTGCAAACGAGTCTATTAAATGATAATTAATTCAATGCGCACAAAAGGGAATTGAGCAAATGGTCCAAGGACGCTGTGCTTGAGGACGGGCGGGCGCTTCGTTCTGCGGAGCTAAGCTGCTTTAATAATGAGCATCTGGCACAGAGTGGCTCTTACTCCGCACCAAAGCAGCTCGCACAGACTTTTTTCTCCTTGCTTGAGTGCGAAAGAGTTGTGGCGTTCTTCCGTCTTCACACCTTTACAACAAAAGGCAAACATAAAAATGCTGCAAGGATTTAAAGCTTAATTAAATGAAATTGCCCACGTGAAAGTTTTAATTTTTCAATCGTTTATTTGAGCTTTGTTTACATTATTGATTTATTTAATTTTTTTGTAATCATAGTTTTGTTCTTATGATACCCGTACGAAGTGGCAGTTGTGTCAATTGCGTATGAAAAATTATGTAAACGCTTAGAAGTTAATGATATTGAGCGTTTGGTCAACAAAAGAATTTATGACAAGAATTTTTATAATTAATAATTTTTAGTTTTTTTTTAATCATTGAGGATTAAAATTTAGTATGAAACATTTGCCCAGTAGTTTAAATTTACTATTTGACTTTATAAATAATAAATATTAATGAAATATCAATAATTTAAAGTGATCATGAAGAGAAGTAAATCTCCAGTTTATTACTTTGAACTTTTATCATGCCACACATATTATACAAATACTATTTTCTTTTTTGTCCATCGTTGCTTTTCATGGGCGAAGTCATCAGAGTTTATTTATGTTCGCACTGAGAGCAACTTTTTATACTTATAAAAGGAACACACATACATAATACAAAGAAGGATACAAACAAATAAATCAATATCAATGACAATGCAAGATGAGAGCGCTTTTTGTGCGCTGCGACTATACAGATGATATACTCTTTCCAATCGGAATCTTTTGTAACTCGCAACCTATATTTTTTGCAGAAGAGATTTTGACATAAAAAAGCTCCTATAAACAATGCCTTGGCTTTTGAAGGCGCAAAATATTGGGTAACAAATAATGGAGATGAGAGGAATCATTGCAACGTGAATCAAAAGGTATAAAACTTTTTTCAATGAAAGACAAATTCAGGCAATTTTTTTTGAAACCCAAAAAGTTTTGAAATTATTTGACTCTTTTTCACCAAAAAGGAGCTGATAAATTTTGATATTTTCATTTTCTTTTCAATTATTATAATTGAGAGGGTCTGTTTTTTAAGGTTAGTTGCAAAAATTGAGTTTATGACAGCGAGGATCGCGATGACCGCTCGATGTCTTCACTCGAAGACATTTCGTTTCATCTTGCACATTTTTCCTTTAAACATTTTATTTCAACTTAATTGGACTCAATTGAACATAATAATAATAATCTTTATAAAACTTTATAAAAAATGAAATTTGGGAAAATAAATAAAAATGCTTATTTATTCAATAATTAAATTGAAATGTGAAATTATATTATTATTGCTTCAAATAATAAAACAATGACTAAAATCAAAATTAATTTATGAATGGTATAAATTTATCTTAACATTTTATTGCTTTTTCCTGCTTTTTCCCATAAAATTTGTACAAGAAATGGAATAAACGTTTTAATATTTGCCATCAAAACAGAAGAAATAAAACTAAGGTAGATTTCTTGTTCATAATGTTCTACGTGATTTTAACATGATTCTTGAAAACTTCAGTCATTGTAATTATCTTCAACTTTATTAACCGTCTCGTGTTATAAAGAAACCTTCTGCTAAAGACAAATTGTTTATAATTAAAATATTTTTGTAGGCATAAGCGTTGTGTCGATGAATAGGTAATGAAAACACAGAAGTTGCGTGGAGCTGATCGATTTTAATGAGACATGCACAAGGTGAGGAAGAGGCCTTTGAAGCGGCGAGCCCGAAGGGAATTAAGCCATTACGCACACGGATGATGCGGAGGGGCCGCCGGAAGTCATCTCGCAAAAACAACGGCCAATTTCGGCGCGCTCCATCGATTTTGCCATTATCGCGTGGGCGCCGCAAGTTTCCGTTTTTCTCTCTCTCTCTTGTGCATTTTGAAACAAAAGTGCAAGTATAGCGAGTACGCGGACGGACAAAAAGCAGGGGTCCGCGGCGGCGGCGGCGGCTTCGGCGCACAGGGAGGCGGCGGCGGCTTCCCCCTCCCCTCGCGCGGCGCCCGCGTGAAACCCAGCTGGCCCTCCAACATGCTTTTGCTTAGTAGAATATTTATCCCGCTGCCATGAACAACACACCATTGTTGGCATTGTGCGGCGCCGACGACCACTTCTTCTTGGAGATGCTCGGACGCCGGCCGGTGGCCGCCGGCCCGGCATGAGACGCACGATTCGCGCCAAGTGGATGTGCAGATCACTGAGCAGAGACGCTGCCTGGGTTATTTTTGA